CTTCCTTCCTTCCTTGCTTGCTTTATTCCTTCTTCCTTCCTTTCTTACTTTCCTTCCCTCCTTCCTTTCTTGCTCCTTCCTACCTTCCAATGCTTGCTTCCTTCCTTCCTTGCTTGCTTTATTCCTTCTTCCTTCCTTTCTTACTTTCCTTCCCTCCTTCCTTTCTTGCTCCTTCCTACCTTCCAATGCTTGCTTCCTTCCTTCCTTTCTTCCTTCCAATCCTGCTTCCTTCCTTCGTTTCATTGCTTCCTTCTTCCTTTGTTCCTTGCTTCCATCCTTGCTTGCTTCCTTCCTTTCCTTCCTTCCAATGCTTGCTTCCTTCCTTTCTTCCAATGCTACTTCCTTCCTTTCTTTGTTTCATTGCTTCCTTCTTTCTTTCGTTTCCTTGCTTCCTTCCTTCTTTCCTTTGTTTCCTTTCTTGCTTCCTTCCTTCTTTCCTTGCTTACATCCTTCAGTTCCTTCCTTGCTTGCTTCCTTTGGTTCCTTCCTTCCTGTATATTACCTTCTTTCCATGCTTGTGTCCTACTTTCCTTTACGATTTTCCTTCTTCCTTTAAAGCCTTGTGTTATCCATCATAACATCGTTGTCAGCATTTATTTTGGAATGGACTGTTTAGGGCTGAGAAATCTGGAAATGTAGGTCAGGAAAAGTCAAACATTTTCAAATAAAAACTCAGTAGGAACCCTGAGAGGTGTAGATGGGACACCTAAATCAGATCTGATGAAGCAACTAAACCACCTGTTCTTTAATCAAGTGCACAGAGATGAAAACAAAGTGACCAGCCTGATGGATATAAAACAAACGGTTTGTTTTCCTTCAGGAGGAGAACAGAACAGCAGTCGACTCTGTCCCCAAAAAGCAGCCCTCCAAGCTGGATCCTAAGGTTTACTCTCTCCTCGAACTCATCTGTGACATAAAAGCCATGGAGGAGTGTGTGCTGGAGATGAAGTTCGACACTAAAAAAGCTCCTCTGGGTCAGTCAGGCTTAGAGGGATCAAATGGAAGGGAAGGTACGCTGGGACGGATTATCAAAAACACGTAATCTTTCTACCTCCAGGAAAACTGACCCAGGAGCAGATCCGTGCCGGGTATGAAGCGCTGAAGGCTATCGAGTCGTGTTTGAAGAAAAAGGGCAGCGCCCGGAATCTGCTGGAAGCCTGCAACGCGTTTTACACCCGCATCCCTCATGACTTTGGGTAGGAAATGAAGAATCTACCGCTGTAAAGTGAGGAAAAATTCTAACAATAGAAAATATATTCTCCAGGTTAAAACCTCCCCCGATGATTAAAACGGAGCAAGAACTGAAGGAAAAAATAGCTCTGTTGGAGGTAAAACATCTCAGCCCCGTCAGTGAAAGTTTCACTCATCTGCCTCATCGTTTTAAAGCTACAATATAAAATCATAACTTTTTTTTTTTTAAGGCACTGGGTGATATCCAGATTGCAGTGAAAATGGCCCAGTCCAATGCAGACAGTGATGAGCATCCACTGGACCGTCAGTACCGCTCCCTGCAGTGCCAGCTGCAACCTTTGGACCACAGCAGCAATGAGTTCAAGGTTGGTTTGATCTGAATGATAAACGATAAAGAGCCTAAAGGTCACAATGAAGGAAAATGAGTTAAAATGTAATTTTATACATTTTATCCACTTTTTTCAACACAAGTTCTTTGTTGTTTTATCAAAATACTGACTCATTGTAGCCAGCAGGGGGAGCCAAAGAGCCTTTAATAAATAATGAATTATTTGAAGCTTCCGCAAGTCAGCCAGGTAAAAATAATGAACGTTAGTTTGAATTGATTTAATAATTTAGAAAGTTCCACGTTTAACTGTTCAGTTGTGTTTTTTTACATAAAAATTTTAATAATGATATAAAGAATAATTGAGTTTATAGCAATCATTAAGACTTTGTTAGCTTCCCTTCTGATCATTATTTTAAGTTGAATGCAATTAAATTGATCCTTTATATGGAGCTTAAAAAACAGCTTAAGAAAGGATTTGGCCAAATGTTTCTGGCATATAAATAGTCGGGCTTCTCACAGCTCCTTGAACTCTTAAAGTCATTGGGAAAACATATTTAAATGTCAAAGCATTCTGACTTAAACATGTACGGTATATAAATGCATTCTTTATCTGATGAAAATGTCTCAAACTTAGAACATTTCTATTTAAAAAAAGCATTTTTTTTTTGTTATCTCCTGCCGGCCAGTTAGTTATACGTCAGCTTGAACACCTAAATTCGGACAATTGTATATCAACGGTCATCTGTCAATCAAATCAAACAGTTGAAATAAGAATAATTTCCTTTCCCATTGAGTTCCGTCCCAGTGTTCACGGGGATGGATGTCTGTGTCTTCAGCAGGCGTAGAGCTAACAGAACTGGCAGCGTTGCGAGGCAAGGGCTCAAACATGTACGGCTGTAAGCCTTCTACACCAAACCAAGCTTCTGCCGCCCTGGCGTCCTCTTCAAAACATCTTCGTCCCCGCTTTCCTCCTCTAAATAAAAGATGTATCATGGAGGAGACTCATTCACGACCTCCGACACTAAACTCTCCTCCTCTTGCATGTTTCCTCTGTCCATAGCGTTCCTTGACAGTGTCGTTTCTAAGTCACCAATTTAGTGCTACTAGCACTAAGTTGCTAACTGGTTAGCAAGATGCTTCCGAGTTTGAATTTGAAAAAAAAAGTACATTTCTGAAATAATTTTTAAAAGCAACATTAAAAAAAAACATTGAAAGACCTTAAAACTTGGGTGGGTGATAAACACTGTCAAATTGTCAGTTTTATTTGTGTTTTTTATTTATTTTTCAGAGCTACAGTCTTATGTTTCGCCTAGCTTTTTTTCCTAGCTTTTTTTTATTGTCATTACACTGTCACAAGTACACAGGAACATTCTCTGCATATAACCCATCCCCCTGGGGAGCAGTGTGGGGTTAAGGGTCTACCCAGATTGGCAGTCTATGGGAGTGGGGCTTGAACTCAGAACCACAGGATCCTAACTTCTATGCCCTAACACAGCCCTCCCCAACCTTTTTTGAGCCACGGACTGGTTATATGAGACAATATTTTCACGGACCGGCCTTTAAAGTGTGGGGGGGTAAATACGATCAAGTAAAATGATACGACTGGCATAAAATCAAATACAAACAGCATAAAAATAAAACTCACTATTATGTTGAATTAGTGGGAGCCCTGAGCTTGTTTCTTTGAAAAAAGCCGGTCCCATCTAGGCTTAATCGGAGACGATGACACACGAAGTGTGCTCCTGATGTCTAGTCTGCTCCGTAGCTTTATTTTGGTCGCTGTAACCACAGAAAATCCCGCTTCACAAAGATAGGATGTTATAGACAGGATGAGTCTTGACCTGAATTAACCTGTGTCAAGAGGCACAGATGCACCGACTGATGTAATTGGGAGGGAATACCCCAATTTTTTTATATTTTTCAAAATAAAAAATCACTTAGACTCTGATCGTTGATAAATTATATATACATATAGTTTTTCTGTGCGGTCCGGTACCAAATGACCGATGGACCGGTACCGGTCCGCGGCCCGGAGGTTGGGGACCGCTGCCCTAACACACTAGCTCACCACTCCCCTACAAGTCAGTATAGTAAACATCCAACTTCTTCGTTGGTACAAAAAAAAAACAGCAAATGCATCAGTGCGCGTTTTCTTCTTGCGGGTGAATTGATAGATTCCTAGTCGGCCATCGAGTCAGTGTGTGATTAAGTTTGTACAAAATGCTAATTTCAGGATCCATGGCTTATAAAGGAAGAAGTTATGCTAAGTGGTTAAAAAAGGACCCAAAAAAATTAACATCCTGCTAGGTGGGGGGCCGCTGCAAATTAATGAAATGGATCAAACGGAGGGAAAAATTAGTTGTTAATGTTGAAAGTTAGGTAATTTTTTTTAATTTAACTACCAAATAATTATAAAGAAGTCGCTAATGTTACAAGGAAAGTCAAGATGGGATAAATGTTGAATTTCTCTTTGGGATTAATTGAATATTTTTAAATTGAATTGAATGAATATTATCAGTATCACTAAAAATTAAATCCACTTTTTATTAAAACTAATATAACAACTTTTTTTTTTTTATTATTATTATTATTTAGCTTCTTATTTAAATCATTTATTGGTGACGTATTCGGCTGTAGCAGAAGGTAAATGCTGCAGGGTTTGGTCCTTAAATGTGAGAGAATTGGTCCATAAAAGCGCTTCAGTTCCACGTTAACCGAGGTGTGAGAACCCGACTCTGTGGTTAGCAGCAAAAAACAAACTAATGAATGAAATCGGTTACTTGAAATCAGGTGGAAGTCACATTGAGTCGTCAGACCTCATCTTTCTGTGACTCTTTAAAGCTTCACAGCAGCAAAAAAACAGTTTCTTCCACTGTTTGAAAAACAGATTAAAGTGACAAGAACAGACAGTAAAACCTTTAGGAGGGCTGTTTTAGAACATCTTTTATTTTTCTGGCTAAGATGCAAACTTTTAGATAACTTTCTCATCTTTAGAAACATTCAGAATGTGTTCCAAGGGGGACAAGACAAGGGACTCAGACTTGCAGTCTCAGCAAACATGTCCTCTAAATCTCAGGGTTCAGTCAAAGTTGAAGCTGTTCACCAAAGTTCAGCAGGTTGAGTGCTGCTCGTAGATCAACCACAACCTCCCCAAAAGCAAGTTCACAAATCACAGTATACTTCAGAAAAGGTGGCTATGAAAACATGCACACAGCTTTATGCATGATAGCACTACACAGATACATTTACATACAATTATTCTAACAAGGACTTTAACACTTTTTAAAATCTCTTTCCTCCTCTCTTTGCGCAGCTGATAGAGAAGTACCTGCAGTCCACTCACGCCCCCACTCACTGCGACTACACCATGACGCTCCTCGACATCTTCTCTGTGGACAGAGGCGGGGAGAGCGACAGCTTCCTCTCACACTTGCATAATAAGTGGGTAGAACCAGAACTGCTGTTGATTTGGCTCCACCTGTTGGTTTTCACTTCCACTCGTTTATGTCAGCTGTTGTTGATGTGTGTTTGTGTTTTGACCAGGACTCTCCTGTGGCACGGCTCCCGTCTGACTAACTGGGTCGGCATCCTCAGTAAGGGGCTCCGAGTGGCGCCGCCGGAGGCTCCCACCACCGGTTACATGGTACTAGGGAGCGTCTTCTTTCTAAAGAATTTATTAACTTCTTTTCACTTTGAATTCTCTTTAAATGTCTTATAAAGAATTGCACATTAACGGTGTTTAGCTTAGCAGTAAAAGTAGCAAAGATAGTAGGAGTAAAATCTGAATTTTAATCAAAATCTCATGTTTTCCACAGGTTTTGGTTTTTACTGAGCCTGAATAAATGCAGAAAGCTCTAGAAACAGAGCAAGTAAATAATATTTACCGTATATTCCAGATTGGAGCTCATTCTTTACATGATCTGTTCTTTCTCCAGTTCTTCCTTCCTCTGTCTGTCCTTCCCTCCTTTGTTCCTTTCCTCCCATCTCCCTCGAGTCTTTCCTTTCCTTCTTTTCCTTTCCTCTGTAATTCTTTTTTCCTTCATTTCCTCCACTGACCCTTACACCCTTTTTCATATCCTTCATTTTTCTATTTTTCTTCCCTTCTTATTTCCTTTTCTTAATCCTTTGGTTTAGATTCCTCACATGCCAACAACCCCAATATCTACCCTCCATAACTAATGAACTTTACAGGAAAAAACGTATCAAACCTTTTTTGCTGTGAGCTCTAAATGATTTCCTCACAGACTCACATTATTGCACAGGAACTTATTGCAATTTCCTATTTCCTTTTTCCTTTTTAAAACGTTGAAACCTTTTTTCCTAGCTGGTGCCGGGCTCTGATGAGCTGAATTTCCACATTTGATCCTGTGTTGAAAGCTACCAGTGAGCCAAGCTTAAAAAAAGAAAAAAATAAATAAATGAAAGCACAGAGAGACAGGAAAGAAAAATGTTTTTGTTTCTGTGTTTGTATTGAGTGGGGGTGTATCAATTATGCTAATTTGTGCAGCAGGATTAGGAATTAGTTTCCAATATTAACATACAATTTGGATGATTGTGGGAGAAGAACAGGAAACCATGCATCTTTCTATTCTAATTCAACTAAATCAACTAACTTATTAATCTATTAATCACTAACTTGACTTTAGAGAGCGTAAAACATGCCTTTAGCTGACAGAGCAACCCACTTAAAGCAGTAAAAATATCAAGATTGTAAAGAAAATATGGGAATATTTTGCATTTAGGATAGAAAATCTTTTTTGTGTGTCAATATGCTTTATGCAGAACTCCTCAAGTGAAAAACTTTTAGGTTCACCTGGTTTAATTTAGCAAAAAGTCTTCTTTAGGGAACCTTTTCTATCTGATTATTAATGGAGAAAATAATTGACAAATCGATTTGGAAAACAATTAGCTGAAGCCTTTATTATAAAACATAAAGATAATATCTCGTTTTTTTTCCTTTTCAGTTTGGTAAAGGGATCTACTTTGCAGACATGTCTTCAAAAAGTGCCAACTACTGTCATGCCAGCCAGAGCAACCATGTGGGGTTTCTGCTGCTGTGTGAGGCGAGTAAAAATGTCTTTCCGTAACCATGAAACGTGTTTTCCTGAAGAATCCTCATTCTTTAAAACTCTTGATATTTGTCATACTGTTTGTTGAGGGACGCGTGGTGACGCCATGCTGAATGTTTTGCCCTCATGTTTAACTCGGCGCTATCATATATATCAACATGTTTGTCTGCAGGTGGCTCTGGGTGACTGTAACGAGCTGCTGGACGCCGACTATGAAGGCCATAACCTCCCTCCTGGAAAACACAGCACCAAAGGCCTGGGTCAGACCGGCCCTGACCCCAGAAACGCCGTAACGCTGTCAGTTTCTCTGATTCTGACTTCACTCTGTCATTTCCTGTCTGCCTGTGTGTTTCCCATTTACAGTTATCTGGGTAAATCAGACCTTTGCTACAGAGAATCCCAGTTTGCAGTATAGATAGAAAAACGCAGCTTGATGCTGAATTATCCGTTCTGTTATGACTCAGCCTCTGATGGCCTGAGCTGTCTTCACTCCTTTTGTTCTGCTTTTCCTCTGCAGCGTCCACTGATCCAGCAAAGCAGAGCTTTAATAGAGTAAAAAAAAAACAAACTGATGGTTAAAATCAGTCAGCATGGAGACGGTCTGTGCAGATGCTTCTAAGAACTCTAAGAATGGGCTGGTTTGGGTTTAAAGCTCCACCCTCTTAAAGGAGAAGTCCGGCCAGCAAGAAATAATCAATGGATCATTATCTATACCTAAACCTAACACGTTCGTGGTGATTTAATGAATTTAGCGTTAATCAGTAAAAAAAGTAAAACTATTTTTCCTTTCGATCACTGAGTTTGGGAGCGGCCATTTCTGGCCAAATATAATAACCCCTCCCTCCTGCCATCTTCCAGCAGTGACGTCACTGTGCGCTAAGCCTAGCGCCATTCTTTACAAGCTAAATCAATGTGAAACACATCTGCAATCAACAACAATTATTGAACGTTTCCAGAGGACTTCACCATTGAAATTCACCAGAGCTACAGTGAAACTGACAATGCCCATGAGCATGGCAGCTGGATGTTATATTACATCCGATAAAAGTAAAAAAAAATAAGTTATTTCACCTTTCCGATTCCTGATCCTCCACAGACGGGTTTGTTGTTGGCCAACTTAAGAGGGAGGATTTGCCATCGAACTTCTGGCCAGAAAAAAAACATGTAATATGTAGCCAATATTTGGAAGAAGAATGTTTTCAAGATGACTTGGATAATAGCGCATTGTGACAAACACCAGATACAGCACTGGGACTTGCTCAACAGCCGATACCGCGCCGTGACGTCACAAACCAGTAGGTGGCAGTAGAGTTCTTTGACAAACATGGATGCCTCCAGTAAAGCACATTCACATGGAAATTACTCTTAATTAAAAACACTTATTTATTGAAAAGCATGTAATAATTTCCTACTTAAAGTACTTTCAGAAGTTTGAATTCTGATTGTGGGGTAGGTCTGTGGCGTTTAGCATTCATTGAAAGTCAATGGGGATTAACACACTCGATGCGATTTTCTGCGTAGCGCTGACTGAGATAGAGCCCGAGTCTATTTTAGTCACAGGAACCAGCTGCAATTTCATCTCCGTCTGACAGGAAGAGAGACGTGGTTACAAAGTAAAACACATGAACATACAGGATAAAATCTTAATCGCACAGGGAATGAGTCCGATTTGGAGCCGAACAGCGGACATAAAGCAGGCGGTACGGATTCATGCAAAAACAATCAGTAAAATAAAAAAAGAATACTTTACCCATGATAGGATTTCAAGAGAACAGAAAATGGATAAAGTAGTGATCCTCTTTGAGCCTCTCAAAACCAATAGGACAGTGCAGGACAACGACAAAAGGCTGTAGGAAAATAATAATCCTTTAAGCCTCGGAAAAAAAAAAAACAATGAGGGGCAGACAGTGCAGGTAAGCTCAGCTCATCACTCTCCCCTCTGTGAAAAATAAAAACTCAACTTCACAGATTTCTCCCCGAGAATCACCTCTCTGCTTCATCCAGTATCGATTGAAACCGTCCCACAGCCTTTTTTGCTGTGTTTTCCTTTCCTTTAAACATAGTTCCCATTATATATTTTTTTAAATATAGGCCTATAAAAATATCTGTTCGGGTTTAAGAGTCGGCTTTTCAGAAGAATTTTTCATAATCTTTCCCAGTCGAATGTGGAAAATTGCTTCAATTCATGAAGCACAGAGGCTGAAAAGAAGAAAATCTGCACAGATCAAGATCTGCTCTCCCTGCATAGTCTGAGCCTCTCTATACGCACTGCAGTCAGCGCGCCGTGGAAAAAAAAAAACGGATCGGAGATTAAAAAGTTGTACGCAACCGGTGTGACCCGGGCTTAGACCTCATGCTAGAAGCTTCATGCTGTTGATCTTTTAGCGTCAAGCTCTAATCCTACCTGGATGTTTAATAAGTTTGCCCACCATAAATATGATTTCAACATCTTTGAGAGAAGGTTTCTAATCGTTAATGATAATCACGTCCTTTTAAGGATTTCTTCAGACATTTGTCCAGCCGTGTCGATAGGCAGAATGGTGGCCGTTCATGTCTGAATCACAACTAAAATAGTTCACTAAATCACTGTTGTTTAGATGTCATTGAAATGCCTCCTAAGTTAACATTACGTTATGAAATATTTTATGAATTTTTATCTTTTCTTGAATCCACATGGCTTACAGCTAATGAGAGGCACAAACATCAAGAGGGGAATAAGTGATTCTAGCTGGGTGATAATCTGGTCATTCTCATTTGCTTTGCGTTGCTCCATGTCAGAAAAATCCAATAAAATCCAGAGGTTTTATTTTTCTATTATAATAAAGAGGCTTTAGCACGGTTTAATAAAGGTTTCATGACACAATTGGAAACTTATTTTAACTTAAATTTGCGAACCGTTTCTTTTGAAATTTGAGATCATTACATAAAAACTACAAACCATATATAAACAAACATTGGGCGCTTTTAAATGTTTTTATTAAACTATATTTAATTATGGCGTTTATGTTTCAGTTTACCCCCCCCCATAAAGGAAACTTCCTGCTTTGTTTATGTTTGTATTCTTTGAATGTCTTCAAAATATTAGTTTCCCTGAAGGTTATGTAATCTACATGTTTAAATGACAATAATATTCCAAGACATTTATTCGTTGTTTGCTGTTAGAGGAAATTAGAGAATAGATGAAGTATCAGTTTAAATATTTGCTTTCTTCTCCAAACTAAATGTTTCTCTGTGTAAAATAAGGCGGCGTTTTGTGTCCGTCTGACACCCTGTCTGTGTTTCCTTCTCCATAAGGAATGGGATGACGGTTCCGATGGGTCCCGGCGTTAAAACAAAGGTTAGCAACCCCGGCGGTTATTCGCTGCTCTACAACGAGTTCATCGTTTACAACCCAGCTCAGACCCGGATGAGGTACCTGCTGCGGATCCAGTTCAACTACGCCTCGCTGTGGTGAAGAGCCGTCTGACCACGTTCCGTCTAGAAGCTCCATCCTCCTTTTGTTTACGGGGAAATCTTCTTTTTGGGTTTTTTTTTCTCCCACTGTTGGTTCTGGGGATCTACTGACACTTGAACAGGCTCCTGTTGCTAGGCAGATTACAGATAGGTTTACTTTCTACTTGGGACTTGAAGTAATTCAGTAAGGAATAATTGATCAACAGGTGGCGCAATAGTGCAGCAGCATTTAAAATAAAAACATTTTTACTGAAGTTTGGATTCATTTATAGTTTATTAATAAAATGTTCTGTTGAATAACTTTCTAATATCTACCTAATAAAAATCAACATTTACCACTGAATGGAATTAAAGCCTTATGAGAGTTAACTGAATATCTGTTGGATTTTAACCCATTGAGGTTTCCCTAAAGATTTAACAGTTATTAATAATAGCCTTAAAGGTCTGAGGTTAAAATGGCTCAGTTAAAAAGGGAACATTAAAGCTGGAACCGTTTCTGCTGTGCGGTTTTATTGGTTGCTCCTCTCACATCCCTGTGCTGCTGCAGCTCACCGAGTATTTTAGCCTTTTTGTTCAGTAGAGCTACACTGAGGGTTTCTAAAACTGCATGGATGGTGCCTGACATGAAGGGGGAAACAAATTGCACTACACCTCATTTATGTTGCTTTTTTTATTCATTTGTCCTTAAAATAAAAGCTTTTTCATGCCATCCTGCTTTATTTGTCCTTGCTCAAACACAATATGCAGTACACCTGCTTTAGAATGTATGAAGCCTTAAATAAAGTGTAATTAAAAATAATCTTCATTTTTGTAAATGTCAAAGAAAAAAAAGAAAAGCTCAGCATTTGATAGTTTTAGTTTGTTTACATTGCGTTGCATGGAGCTTCATCTCTTCCCCAGCAGGTAGAGGAAGATGAGGATTATGTCCAGGTAGATCATGAGCGCAGCATTGATGTATTCCTCTGGACTTAGCCGGTAGCTCATCTTTCCCATCATCAGCTGACAGTCGATCATCAGGAACTGAGGCGGGAAGGGAAAGTTTTTAATGCATCGCAGCTTTATTATAAGAATGATCCATCGTTCTACACAAACGGCAGTCCTGGTGTCTAATATCCTTCCCAGCTCTCCCATTAAGGCTTTTATGTTGAATTTTATTTGGCTTAACGTATTAACGGAAGCTCTTATTTTGAAGTATTTATGAAGTATTTTATCATATCAATAAATTAGAACATTTGAGGATTTATATGGATTTCATAATGAGAATATCTAAAAGCAAATAAAAAAAGTTGGTGACCCCTGCTGTAGACCATAGATGTGATGTATTCATGTATTTTTAGAACTGATCAAGCGAACACATTTTGCTATGTGATCCTGTAAAACAAGCCTTTCTATCAGTTATGAAATTAATGAATAGAAATAGTTTTGTGTTATACTTAATAAACTATAATAATAAACTATGATAATATACATCAGTGAGTTAAATTATTAATTTTGTAAACCAAAAATAACCTTTGTTGATTCAGCTTTATACAGTGTTTACAATTGATTCAATTTACAAAGTTAAGCTTCATTTAGTGGTTTAAATCAAACTTCATGATTTTAAGGGAATGCATAAAACGCTTCATTAAGTAATCTTTAAATAGAAAGCTGTAAGTTCCTATAAAGTGACCTATAGGTGTAAAGCAAATTATTTATGGCTTCCTGGAGTTTTTTATTTATTTACATTTAGCTTTCTGTCATTAGAATAATTAGGTTTATTTACAGCTAGGGCTGAAACAATAAGATTAATCGATCGAAGAATCGTGAACTGATTTAGTAATCGATCAATCATTAACAGGAGTATAGACTCTAAAACATTAATTTAGCTAAGAGAGAAACCCACCTTGTAAAAAATATATGTAAACATTTAGCATTTAACATAAAAAATACTTTAATGTGTGTCAATATGCTCTATGCAGAACTCCTCCAGTGGAAAAGTTTAGTTTCACCTGGTTTAATTTCATAAAAAGTCTTCTTAGAGGAGCCTTTGGCTATCTGATTATTAATTGATTAATCAATTTGCAAATTCTTCGTCATTGCAGCCCTAATTACGGCCTGTTATTTCATTTCTGCTCTTACCAGAGAATACAGCAGCGCTCCAAGACATCCGTAGACGATGCTGGAGACGTGGGAGTAGTAGAAGGTGCAGAAGAACCCAAACATGATAAAGTCCACAGCCAGGATCAACAGAACTCCGTAATAAATGGTGAAATCATAACGCGTCTGGATCAAAGAAGAAAAGGTTAAAAGAAGACAGTCATATGCTTGGAGCAGTAATTAACAGCAGCTGGGTTTATCTTTTAAATAATGTTTTTAAAGAGTAAATCATCTAAGGAAAAATAACTTATTTTAGATACTAATCTAAAATATACCAGAAACAAAGAAACATCTACCTATCAATGAATCAACAACTCCCTTCATGTTAATCATCTTTGATGCCACTGAAATGTACCTTTTTTTTCCTTTAAAAAGAATTTAAATGATTCACTTATGGCTTTATCATCATTGAACATGGACTACAAAACTGCTGCAAGAGAAAAACAAAGTCTGGTTTCAATATTTTGCTCTCATGCAGACTCCCAGTTCCCAACACACTGTATTAAAGGGCAGAGGTGGGTAACTAGTTACATTTACTTGAGTAAAATTTAAGAAAGGTTTAGTTTTAACTGTACTCTTTACTTTTATTTAAATAATAGAATAGAATAATATAGAGAAGAATAGAAAATCCCTTTATTGTCCCACAGTGGGGAAATTCTGGTGTTAAAAGGAGCAAAAAGATTATAATATAAAAACCTGCACCTGGAGAATAATTGATATATAAATAATTGAATACACATATAATGTAATAAAAATATGTATTTTATTATAATAATATTCTTGTAAGCATATCACTACACTTGTGTTTATCATGCAGTGATTTAACCAGTGTGAGTAATTTGAGCTTTTCAGTGATTGGGTGAAAAAACAGTAAACAGTAGGTATTGTAGCTGGAGATTCTTTATCTATTACTGACATATATATTTGTAATCTAATGTCAGGAATGTTTTCTTATAGATTTGATTGATGCAATAAGATTTATTTTGCAATCCTGTCATTTATTTGTCATTTTTGAACTATATTTTATTACTTTGAAATCATACAATTTGCACATAAGTATCTTTTTAATTACATGATTTTAAACATTACGATTACAACAGATACTCTACTTGAGTAGCCATTTTACTAAGTACCTTTTACCTTTACTTAAGTAATTTCTTGAATGACTGCTTTATACTTTTCCTGAAGTAGAAAATCAAACCTTTTCTGTTCATATTTTATACTAGGATTTCCATAAAGTTCTAAACCCTGCAGAAAATTGTTGAAATTTAAGTCTTGAAAGTGTTTAATTGAAATAAAAAATGTGCAGAACGCTGTTAATTTGCTCAATCTGGATGGTTTTGATGTTGGTCTGGGCTCACGATAGCTTTCCTTATAGAGGGCCCGCTTTGGTTGACTGAAAACAACCTCTATCAGGATACCTAGACTCCATATATAAGTATTAGACAGACCTAAAATGGATGTTTGGAAGAAGAACTTAAATTGTTTAAAACTTCTCGGCTCCATAGGAGTAACTCTGTTTTATAAACAGC